ATATAAATATATAAATTTATATGAACACACACAAACACACATATATATAGACGTATATCCATATGGCTCTAGTTTAATTGCGATGTGCTTGTGAATGCATACGAGTGTATCGATCGAATCATTAAATACCTTCTAATACCATGTCGATAATATGCGGATTTGGATAAATTCGATACCGTTCCACTGCAAACCTGAATTTTTCGCAGACAGCGTGGAAGTCGCCCGCCTGTGTATTTGTGACCGTTGTTGTAGTTTTAAAAAATAAGCAAACTCAAACGCTGCCATTTTTGGGATTTTAAAATCCTCAACGTTTCACGACTAGCTTTCAAATGATCGCGTAATCGAGGCAAACGAACGATATTCTCTTGCACCACGATTGGAACCCTAGAGAATTCAACACAACAAAGATACCAACCTCCATATACGACACAAGTATAGGTTTGATCGTGATCGGATGAATCTTGACATGAGTCGCCCGCATCCGCTCAACGAATTCCCAGCTTAACTCTGTTAGGTTGCGCTTCGCACAAATATACACGGCTGCGTTATAAGGCCCACTCTCGAATCCAACAACCCCTCCCCTGCCCTTGCTCGAATTTGCGTTGTTCTCATACAGTTTCAACACATCCAGCAGAACACTGTGTACATCGGACTCTTGTACTATGCTCCCCAATGTCACCAAGAACGCGCCATAGAAAGGTGCTCCGTGGCTAGGCACGTTTCTTCGACACTCCTGTGGAAAGTTATTGCAATGGCGTGTTATAGATATGCTGAATGTTGTGCCGATGAGGCAAAATCAGACACATGTGATTGCGATTGCTATACAGACCACCTTGGCGACGAACATCAACATGCATGTACAAAATGCAAGACAATGAAATACCTTTGCGAGGGCTGCGACATCCGCCACGGTAGAGTTTGGCTGGAACCTAAGGCTGTTCAGAAGTTTGATGTAGAAACCTTCGGTGTATAATTTAGTCGGAATCAGCTCCTGTGTTGCAGTGAGGGATGCGGGGCAGATGGTGTGGTATGAATAGGAGAGACCGACCACAGTACTGTTCTCAGTGCAACTCTTAGGGAGTTCATCAAGAAACAGATAAAGACGCATAGCTGGTAGAATCCAGCGCAGAGGCGATAGCAACTCAAAGCTCTCTCTAGAGGACGAGTGAACGTGCAGCGCGTTTACATAAATCCAAAGACTTGCATACGACCATGACACGGGTGCCAACTACTGCGAAACGACCGGCGTGCGCCTTACCCTATAGAGCGATGCGGTCCAGGCGAACGCTGGCCGATCCTCTGCTCGCGAACAACTCTCCATCACTGCCAGTAGTAGCTCGCCCTGGGCTGCTTCCGTTAGGCGCGCGTTACTTGGCCCATCCGCCAAGAGAAGGGACTGTCTGACAGACTCCGTATCCATACAAGTCACATCCGACATGACCTTCCGAACGGCGTCGTAGTGCTTAGCTATGCCAGCAGTGACGACAAACTTTAGCCTCATCATCAGCTCCAGATTGTACTGAGAACCTGGGTAGAGTGACCAGTGACGCACATGAGTTATTGACCTAAAAAGAGTCAGCACCAACTGGCATGACCGATTCATCTCGGAACAGCTTCAGTACCGACTGAGATGGGTGGTCAGACGCTTGTCCACGCGCATACAATCTAGTTGACCAGCATGCGACATAACTACCCCGAACACAAACACGCGAGACGCCGGTGCCAGACTGAGCAGCGAGAGTAGCGTACAACCAAAACCGGTTTGTTCAAAGGTACATACCGTACATGTTCGCGTTTCCGTTGTTTCGTTCAAATCCCAACTGCTTCCTCAGCGCTTCAAACTCAGTGAGGGCACCGCTCTGAGCAGCCAATGTGGTGCACGCCATATAGGTTCGATGGGTAGGGCTCAGACCCAGCACCTAGCAAGCGCAACAGGAACCATTAACATACACGTTTTTTCACGAGGATCTTTTTAACATATATATACTTGATGGGAAGGTACAGAGATATCTCTAGAAACAGACTCAGCACCTAGCAAGCGCAACAGGACCCTTTAACATACACCCTTTTAACGAGAATATTTTTTGAAAAACATATGCTTGATGAGAAAGTACAGAGATATAGCTAAGAAAAGCCGCCCGCAAGAGGCACTGCATGTGCGCTGAGCGCTCAGATATGGGCGTGACGTACACTAATTGTCTAATGTACTCTATATAGGTAGTCTACCAATTGTCTAGTGTACTCTATATAGGTAGTCTACCAATTGTCTAGTGTACTCTATATAGGTAGTCTACCAATTGTCTAGTGTACTCTATATAGGTAGTCTACCAATTGTCTACTGTACTCTATATAGGTAGTCTACCAATTGTCTAATGTACTCTATATAGGTAGTCTACCAATTGTCTAATGTACTCTATATAGGTAGTCTACCAATTGTCTAATGTACTCTACATAGGTAGTCTACCAATTGTCTAATGTACTCTATATAGGTAGTCTACCAATTGTTGCTCGAGCATTACTTTTGCCCGCAATGACATTGCGGACGCGGGTATCAGCTCAACCACACGGTACCCTAACCTCCGAAACATGGACACATGTCGCACTGTGCCAGACCTACCTTCACATGGCCCAGAATATCCCAGGGCACTCGCACATTCACACGCTCCAGTTGGACAGCCATATTGAGGAACGCGTCAACAATCGCCATAGACAACGGCGGCATTGCCTGCATTCCCTTGCCTCTGCCACGTTCCATGAGATCCCATTCGCTCTTCCTCTGCACCGTCCCCATGTCGCGAGATACCGGCGGTTTCCTTTTATAGCCAACATGAATTGATTCCAATGGCTCATCCGCTCTATCTTCCGTACCTCCACACACTTTACCGTTCGAATCATTGCCCGCTTCACAGAACCTATCTGCCTGTCTGAATCCAACCACGCGGGTCTTCGCCGGGGCTAGTCCGGGAGTGGTGTCGAGCCATGCGTAGCCGTAGGCCGTTACTATGTCTCGTGAAGCCCTCTGGTTGATGTCCCAGAAGACCTCACTGCTGATGCCGGCACAGCCTTTAGCATCACCCCGCGCCTTCAAATTCAGACCCTGATCAAAGCACCAGCGCATGAGCACACGCGCTTGGAAGTAGCTGTGGTCGTGCATGACGGAGGTTATATATGACGCGGCCAATCTCGGCCCTAACGCCTGTTTGGTCTGTAGGAGTGGGCCCACCATCTGCGTGACCAGTTCATGTCTCCCCTGGTGGTGGTACTCCTCGGCGAATCCCGCGTAGATGGTCTGTGCATACATTGTGTACAGGTGCCCTCTGAGCTGAGCCTGTTGGTGGGCTACCTCAGCACGCTCGTCCAGGCCAGCTAGTTTGGTGTTGATGATATCATTGGCGTTCTTCCAGGCAGGCGCTTCGCGTACCGCTCGGCTGTTCCGGAGCACTGCCACGATCTTTTCCAATTGCGAATGGTCTGTGTGTTTCGCGCTTGCGCTCAGAAGACCAAACACAATCTGCTGCTCGATCGCAACCGGGCCCTTCTCCACGAAGTCGAACAGTTGCTTCACCTGGTGCGGGCGAGCCCTATGCAAGACTTCGCCGGCCAATACTTGCACAGTTGCCTCGGTAGGTACGACGGGCATATGGCTCAGTATCAGCTGGAGATAATCAAGCTTGGACTGCATACCTCCCGTGGGAGTCTGAAGCAAGCTGCGCAGGAACAGGTCCCGTTGTGCCTCCTGTATGAACCGGGGATGGTCGGACAGGTGTCGTAGCGCAGGCTCTATTGGATCAGCAACGTGAGGCTTTGTGTGGGGGAGCTCAGCTGAATCTCTGGTCACTGACACGTGGTTCGACTCAGGCTCGGCCGCTAGTGGGTGGGTTGATAGGCTGGGCGACTCTATTCTCGGTGCCTCCTTTGTGAGAGCACGGTTCTCAATGCCTAGCCTTTCATGTGACGGTCCAGGTTTACGGTTGAATCCCAAGATCTCACCCCGGCACGCCAACAGTTGCTGCCAACTGCGCTCCGCTAAGCGTGCATCATCTAGGCGCACTATCTTGCTCACCACTTTCTTCATACTGGGATGTATAGTTGGAGGCTTTTGTGCTAAGGTATCTACGTTACCCACACAGTCGCTGCCATTTGGCACATCTGGCGGTTGTATCGTAGCGTCTAGCCCGGGACTTGCTGTGGTACTAGAACTTCTGTAGCTTCGTCGCCTTGGCAACAGATAACTAATAGCCGACCCTTCATAATTCTCTCTCGTTGCAGATCTGCTGCCCATACTTAAGAACCGCCGCGTTCCAATACATGAACTTACGTGTGTAGCTATGTCTGAGGGCTTCCGAACTATACGCATACCAACCCCGTTGCTGACAGAAAGCTGTGATTTTTGTGTACATGCTATTACATAGGATAGAACCCTAAAAGGTGAAGACTTCCGTAAGGCCATTGTGCTAATACTAATGGTGATATAAACGGTATCATACAACAAACAGACATTAAACTACACTTGTCTGCCTCCGCCAATATATACAAATTCTAGCGAACGACCTCACACCCCTACGCTAATTAACATACATCTCGATATGGATCGTTCCGCTATTAGTCTATTAACCGCACCTGTTCTCATCCGAAAGTGGCAGTGACTTTATCCATCAGCATACAGTACGATTGTAATAGTCTGTTGTATACTTTGTTTATCAAATACACAATAGCACATAGCACCTCTCGATTATATAGACTATATATTTTATAAAGCAGAGAAAATGAATATCATGTCAGCTGCCTCTCACAGACCTCTCAGACTTTCACGACAATTTATGGGTCTCATACATAAAAGTTTAACGTAAACGTGTCAATTTCAAAACGTGCATTTTCTATGCAGATCAAACATCTATCGAGTTTGTATGGAAACAAAAATCGGTCCGGTTCATCACGTCATATTGTATATATGATATGGGTGGTCTTGGGTTTCTAGGGATTTTGATCTAGCATGTCAATATCTCTTATGACCCTCTCTAGATAAGATACGAATATAAATGTAGGTCGAACGTCCGAAGGGCTATCTCTTTAATCGATTTCATTGTATACTGCATAGGACTATAGGGTTGTGATATATTGCTGCCTGCTCTTGTCGATATACCGCTCGTTCTGTACACATCAGTGCACGTTACTATAAATTGATTTATCAGTTGCAGCCACGTGATTAATTAGCTTAAGCCGATGAGTTTAATGGCTCAGCACAATCTACATCGTTGTATACAGCAATATAATAAACAGGGCCGTGCCAGCTTGAATATCGCAAGGCCTTTTTCAGGGTGCAGGGTCTCCTCTGTGTACAACTTATATCTACCACTGATACAGTTAAAAAAGAGGTCGGTGCCCTTTAGTATGAAGACTTAGCAGAACTCACAAGGTTGTATATAGCGATCTCAATCATCAGGGCAGCGCAAGTTCGACGATCGTATATGCTTATGGATATCATAGATAATATCAAGAAGTATTGCTACTATTTCGAGAATTCCTCAAGGCTCCTAAATTTGTACCGACAAATTTATCTTCTATCGTGTTATACATGTACCCTAATATCTTACTTTCTATTATAGTGAACTTAATTCGAAATACTCGTGAATGACATCCATTATAAATTCAGTGCAGATTATAGTTTTTACACGTTATCTCAACACGTGTTGATGGACAATTGATGTGCGTGTGTATATAGGCTTCAAGCAAGTTAAAAGGACTCGCTTAGAACTTATCGGATTTTATTGATTCAATCGATCGTTGTCTGCACGAGTGAATGTAATAGAAGCGTCGAGGCTGTGTGATGTATATAAGTGTCTACAAGAGCAAACTTCAAAACTGAACAGACATTACAGCTAATACTCGGGAGCCAGCAAGCACTGTTTGTTCTGAGAATGCTCTTGTCATGTGCAAATCTATGTACACGTGCGAAGGTAAGGTCCGCAACTACAAGTCATGAGACGGCCTGTGTGAACATGCCTTGGCAACCCTGATCATTGTATTAAGCCGTGCTTGCTCTCACTATTCGCCCTCATGTCTTCGAGAAGCATATGAAAATCACATGCTTGTAAAATAGTTTCGATTGGCTAGCATGGTTAGCAACTACCTGTGATGAAAACCATAGCCCAGCTTAGTCAGTACCGGCTTGGCGTACAACACTCGCAACAATTTGAATGCTAAGCCAGCAATCTACTTGTGAAACGGTTCTTCTACTATTTCGGAATATGCTCTACCTTCATGTTTTATTAAATACAGTCATTCTGTGACGGTTTTACCTGTTCTCTATCGTTGCCATAGAGACCGCCACAGATACGAGCTACGTCCATCTATACTATAAATGAACGCTATTCTTTTCGCAAGGCCTGCCTGCGATATACACGACTCGAGATATCACCCGCGATTCTACCCCCCTCCAACGGCCCTTAGACAGACAAATGAAAGTACTCCGCCAGAAAGGCAGCCAGCACACGCATCATGTCCATTGTTGCGTCGGGGTCTATGATGCTCTCATTGTCTTCCAGCTTGTGCCAGAACTTGGGGAAGGGCCACTGGATGAGGTGCGCGATGGGCACGTTCCTCTCGGCAAAGGGTGTGTGGTCATCGCCTATCTGTGAATCAACAAAAGATTATGTATGAACGCATTAGCGAGGTCTTATATGAAGCCTGAGAGAATCTATCGCCTCCTATTAATGAAGAGATTCCGCTAAGTCTAAGTGTAAGCTAAAAAAACCAAAGTACTGGCTGGCACATAGTCGCGCGTGCACAAAAGGAGACCTAAAGCAACAAACCTTCCGCACTGTGAAGCCTGCTCGGGATTAGACCTACTACGCCGCTTGCTATGGAGGTTACACATCATGATTCACTTCTACGACTGCGCGTCTAGAAAGATGGCATGTAATATAATTAACTACCTGAGGCCGGCTCAGCGAATTCGATATCGGCTGGAAGTACGGATGCCCCACGGTGTCACTCAACTGCTGAAAACTGCCCAGTTTATTCTCTGGGGGTTAGCAATAGAGCACCAGTATAGTGTCAGAGAACATTGTGCGCGTGTAGTGAGCGCTGACATATACCTTATACCACAACCTACACATCCATTTGACGGGGGGTGACTGAAAAAGCTATACACGTTGCTATCTGGTGGATGGTGCGACCAGCCTAATTGTTAAGACTCAGTAAAATGCGAGCTTCTTCCCGTCCCTCTCCTGACCTGTGACACGGTGCCGTAGACATACACAACTATCCGGCCCTTCCCATGGCCATTCACTCGTACGTTCATCCTATCATTGGCATATACATCCATGTACAGGTCCATTTCACTCGTACGTTCATCCTATCATTGGCATATACATCCATGTACAGGTCCATTTCACTCGTACGTTCATACTATCATTGGCATATACATCCATGTACAGGTACATTGGAGCCTAACGCCCCATTCCATCCCAACACAAGCCACCAGCTAAAGCACCGCGATATGTTTTTCAAGCAGAAACGCCTATTACTGTACTCCACGCACGCATACCTAGGTCAATAAGGCGCATGAAGAGGAAGTCAGTCGAGGGATCGAACGAGTGGAAAGTGGGTCTAGTGCCACCGATAAGGTCGAGCAGCATGAAGACTTCAATGCCCTGCAAGACGGTGTAATTGCTACCGCTAGTACCGTTCGCGGAGCCGTCGTTTGACTGAAGTTCCCCGTCTGGACTGGACATAGTGCAATAGGTTGGCTCCGAATTAATGTACTGCCGCGCAGTACGCGCACACGCGCGGGCCATACGCGTACAGTCTGCAACACATCTATACTGCCCAAAGCTCTCGCACAAAATCGCTTGCATGCTCAGAAAGTACTTCACCTTCCCGATGCGGGTTGTCATGGGAACACATCGAACGTCAAACATGCACACATCCATACCTAGCAACATCGCAGTGTGCATCGCCTGCCCCATCCGTACCCGAACACGCGAAAGCATTCCTGCTCTCCCACACAGCCGCCAAATGCCTAGCCCCATATATGGAGTCTGTCGCTGTCCACTTCTCGAACGCCTCCTCCCCGTCGAAGAACACAATCTCGAGTGTCGTATCGTTCCTCACACTCAACTCATCCGCCTGGGCCACCTTCAGGGCCGTGTCCAAAATGGAGACCAGGTGCATGATCATCGCACAGGGTACTGCCGAGTCTGACGCGCCAATGAAGGTCTGGCTTTCGAAGAACTTAGAGTCGTAGTGAGCGGCCAGGACAAACCGCCTGGGTTTGGTTGGGTCTAGAGTGAAGATGAGGTTGCGGAAGGTCAGCGCTCCCAGGGGCGTGATGGCATTGAACTGATCGACGGCACTGGCCCAGCCTAACGCCTCGAAGTGGTCTGTCAGGTGCTGTGGATGGTGGTTGGTCGATGGGGTACATAGGACAGTGCTAAATATAACAAGACAAGGAGTAAAGGACTTTCCATTTGACGATTGCGGTGTACTAAGTTGTTTGTTGCATGTAGCTAATAGTGCTCGGTCAGTCGCTGTGGAGCTATAAAGAGTAGGTATAGGTATGAGTTACGGGACAAGGTGTAATCTACCAGAGGTTGGCCATGCATTGATATCATGCAACCAATGACAGGTGAGCTACACCCAGGTTGCGAAAAGGAAAGCTTGGTGGACCGACAACGAGGCTTGCGCGTACTTCTAATAATTCGTCTTCAGACTTGTTGGACATATCGTGTGTATCTACAGTATGGGCCGGTAAAGATGCAGTCACACCCTATGTCGGGTGTGCGACACTAGATAATACTGAATCGTAAGCACACTTGAATACAGAGGTTCAGCCCACCTTTCGGACATTGTCATGCCCAACAGAGCCCACTGTGCGAGACACCAACAGAGGGTCGAGTAGATCATCCCAGAAGACGTCTATGTCTGGCAAAGCCGCTATCTTTATTAAATCAGCGCGTGTCAGATCCTTACCCGGCCTAGCCTGCGGCGTGTAAACCATAAACCATAGAAAATGAGGAAGTGATCGGTAATTGAACACTGTGGCATGAATATTAGTAGGGTTGGTCTTTATTAAATCAGCGCGTGTCAGATCCTTACCCGGCCTAGCCTGCGGCGTGTAAACCATAAACCATAGAAAATGAGGAAGTGAACGGTAATTGAACACTGTGGCATGAATATTAGTAGGGTTCACCAGTAGGTTTATAGCGGATATGAATATTAGTAGGGTTGGTGCGGATACGAATACTAGTAGGGTTAAAAGCGGAAACGAGTACTGCACAGAGTTCTGGCAGGCTTCAAACTTTTACCAGCCACCTGTGAAGTGTATTGGTTTCAACCAAACCTTTGGAACCGGTTGCTCATCGGGAGTATTGGAGCAGTCTCGCACTATTCGCAAAGAAGTACCAAGCTTACGAGACGTATTACTCGATTGAGAGAACTCGTACCTGCCACGGCAGCATTTGCAGGTCGAGTGGGGACATCTACAAGCCGATTTATCATCGATGCACAAACGGTGCGTGCCGACATACAACTACGAAGATAGTCGACATATGAATAGAATCTCCCTTTAACGACACAAACCATCGCTTCACAGTAACGCTGGCTGATAACTTGCACGTGCACGGAAGTACCCACAGAATGACCGGTTGTGCAAGTGTATACGCAGTGACAAAGGACAGGCGCACACAAGCACCGAAATTGCTTCATAACTAATGGTGCGATACCTACGTAGCGCTAGGTAATGAGTATGCGCACATGAGCGTCCTAGTATATGGCTTTGGCAATTTGCAGATATCTTAACGAGATTTGTAACTAGCTAGACCGTCAGAAACCTGATCGAGGTTGCGGAAGCACGCTTGTAGCGTGCAACGATGACCATTCGGGACACTTGATTAGCCAAAGGCAGTTAACAGCAAGAAAACAAGGTGGCAGATGATAGCAAATACACCAGATGATAAACATGTCCATGAATTCAACATGCCAAAACGAATTCAATGGACGGCCGAGGCACAAACTTGGACGCACACCGAAAGCGTTCACTCTGTACATCATCTGAAAAGGTGTGCATTGATGTGGGGGACCGAAGGTTTATATTCCCACGATAATAATAATAAATACTTTAGAAGTTGACCGCCACTGGAATCTGGAATCGGTGAATTCGAGATTGTGGCTTTGTGAGGAATCATATAGAAGCGTATCCATAAATCGCCAGTTCAAGATTCGTCAACATATGCATATACGTGTAGCTAATGCGATATTAAACGATGGTAGCTTACTTCACATTTTGAGCCAGGCAGTGCGAGAATGCAACGCTAAGGTACACGAGCAAGCAAATATACATCTGCAAATTATGAAAATGATATCTGCGTTCATGCAGAAAAGTACGACATACTATATCCAAATACCGAACATTGATGCTAAAACATACGATTGTGCACAGAAAATATAGAAAGACGTATATTACATCCACACAAAAGTCCAAATGTACCACGCAATTGGAGTATAGTTGATCATGTTGGCGTATTCTAGTACACGTAAACGTACAGTCAAAAACTTGACCATATAACGAGATATAAAAGGTCGTGATGACAAATTTCTAACAAAATCCAACCCTCATTGTATTCAGATCGCTTTATTAAAATACAACATGAGAACTCTAACCCAAAGTTGATGAGCACAAAATATCTCAGCAACAGACCAAAACGGATCACAGATCCCTAGAAGAAACATACACAGTAGTTCAGAGACCAAAAATATCACGAAGCATTGTGATAGTATGACATCAACAATACATATGCGAATCAAAAGTGAGAGTGTACAAGGTTTACCACGTTAAGATGCATCGCGCATCGAAAATCACAGGGTTTACTTTTGCGTTTAAATAATTTGACTACCAGCAAC